GGGGGGGGGTGTGGACCCAGGCATCCGGCTCACCCGATTGGTCCTCGGTAGTGTCGGCCGTGTGGATCTGGTTGTCGAACCAGAGATGTGCCACCGTCATCCGGTTTTGGGTGAGGGTCCCTGTCTTGTCGGAGCAGATGACCGAGGTGGAACCCAACGTCTCCACCGCTTCCAGGTTCTTCACCACGCAGTTCTTCCGTGCCAGCCGCTTCGCCGTCAGCGAGAGGCAAACCTGGGGCCGGAGAAGACCCTCAGCACCCTGGGGAACCCTGGGAGCCCTATGGTACCCGTGGGACCCTTGGGGACCTCCTGGAGCTGGTGTGGTGGCCCTGGAGCCACCGGGACCTCCAGGAAAGCAGTTGATGCCCACGGACCTGTAGGGACAACCAGAACCCATATCGCATCCTTGGGTTGCGTTGGACCCGTGGGTCCTTGGGGCCGGAGAAGACCCTCAGCACCCTGGGGAACCCTGGGAGCCCTATGGTACCCGTGGGACCCTTGGGGACCTCCTGGAGCTGGTGTGGTGGCCCTGGAGCCACCGGGACCTCCAGGAAAGCAGTTGATGCCCACGGACCTGTAGGGACAACCAGAACCCATATCGCATCCTTGGGTTGCGTTGGACCCGTGGGTCCTATGTGAGCCCCATGAAGACCCTCAAGGACCCCGTTGCACCCACGGTTTGTGACGGACCCATGGGGACCTTCTGGAGCTGGTGTGGTGGCCTTGGAGCCACGGGGACCTCCAGGAAGGCATTTGGTGCCCATGGACCCATAGGGACCATCAAGGCCCATGCAGACCCCCCCCCCAGGTTGTGTTGGACCCATGGGTTCCATATAAGCCCCATGAAGACCCTCAAGGGCCCCATAGCACCCGTGGTTTGTGATGGGACCTGCAGCCCTAGAGCTCCAACCCCCGTGGTGCCCCAAGCCATACCGTGACAGTGGCCAGCAGCCCCTCAGGGACGTAGGCCACGACGATGGCCATGAAGAAGACCATGGCACGGAGGAAGGTGTAGCCGATGACCATGGCCACCACGAAGAAGGTGGCGCCGAAGAAGATGGCGAGGCCGGCGATGATGTCAACAAAGTGCTCGATCTCGATGGCGATGGGCGTCTTCTCGTTCTCCACCCCCGAGGCCAAGCTGGCGATGCGCCCGATGATGGTCCGGTCACCCGTGTTGATCACCAACCCCATGGCCGTCCCTATGGGACCCGGGTAATCCCGGGTGGGTTAGGGGACCCGAGTGGGACCCAGACATCCGGGAAGGGAACCCAGGCATCCGGGTGGGACACACCTTCTAGGCACATGGTGGAGAAGAAGGCGATGTTGCGGGTCTCCAAGGGTGAATCATGGGTGCACTCGGGTGACCGGGTCTGGGGCTCCGACTCCCCCGTCAATGACGAGTTGTCCACCTGAAGGCGGTGGTGGGAGGACATGACTCCGCCCGGGGTGGGGTGGGGGGGGAACCCAGGCGTCCAGACCCACCTTGCAACCCTGAGCTGAGATGATGCGGATGTCCGCGGGAACTCGGTCGCCTCCTTTGATCTCCACCAGGTCACCGACCACCAGCTCGTTGGCGTTGATCTGCAGCTTGTCCCCTTCCCGGATCACCGTGGCTTGCTGGAGGTGACAGGGGAACCCGGGCGTTCGGGTGGGGACCCAGCCGTCCGGGTGGAGAAAGGACCCAGGCGGCCGGGTGGCCCCACCTGAGGGACGAGGTTCTTGAAGCTGGCGATGATGTTGGTGCTCTTGAACTCCTGGTAGTAGCCGAAGCAGCCGGTGACGACGACGACGGCGATGAGGGCGATGGCGAGGTACAGCTGGGGGTGGTGGGGACAGGATTAGGTCCCCAGGGTGGGGACCCAGGCGTCCAGAGGGTTCCAGGCATCTAGTTCCTCCCCCAGAGCCCCCCAAGTTGCCCCCTCCCAAAGGTCTCTGGCTTCCAGGTGCCCCCCAAAAGGGACCCAGATGTTCTCCAGATGGACCTGAGCGTTCCTCAACCCATGGACCCATGCGTGTCACCCCCCCAAGATGGACCCAGGTGTTCCCCAACCCAGATGGACCCAGGCGTCCTCCCCAGATGGACCCAGATGTCCCCCTAGATGGACCCAGGCATTCCCCAACCCAGCTGGACCCCAGATGTTCCCCAGCTGGACCCAGGCGTTCCTCAACCCGTGGACCCATGCATCCCTCTAAGATGGACCCAGATGTTCTCCCAGACGAACCCAGATGTTCTCCAGCCCAGGTGGACCCAGATGTTCCCCAAGATGGACCCAGGTGTTCCTCAACCCATGGACCCATGCATCCCTCTAAGATGGACCCAGATGTTCTCCCAGACGAACCCAGATGTTCTCCAGCCCAGGTGGACTCAGATGTTCCCCAAGATGGACCCAAGCGTTCCTCAACCCATGGACCCATGCGTGTCCCACCCAGATGAACCCAGGTGCTCCCCCCAAGATAGACCCCAGATGTCCTCCCCAAGATGGACACAGGCGTGTCCCACCCCACCCCTCCCAAGATAGACCCAGGCATCTGGCGTACGTTGTCGGAGCTGCCGCGGTCACCCTCCCCCTCCTGCACGCCGTAGGCGATGAGGCAAATGGCCGCCGCCACCCACATCAGGCACTGGAGACCCCCGGCCAACTGCCGCCCAAACTTGACGCACTCGGGGGTCCCCCGGGGGGGGCGGAGCTCGTTGGGGCCATCCCGCAGCAGCCGCTCGGCTGCCACCGCCTCCACCAGGCCCTGCGGGGGTCAAGTGGGGTCATGGGGTCAATGGGGTTGGCGGGGTCAACAGGCTTGAGTGGGGTCAACGGGGTTGAGTGGGGGTCATGGAGTTGACTGGGGTCAACGGGGTTGGTAGGGTTGGTGGGGTTGATGGGGTCAATGGGGTTGGCGGGGTCAACAGGCTTGAGTGGGGTCAACGGGGTTGAGTGGGGGTCATGGAGTTGACTGGGGTCAACGGGGTTGGTGGGGTCAATGGGGTCAATAGGGTTGGTGGGGTCAACGGGGGTGATGAGGTCAACAGGTTGATGGGGGTCATGGAGTTGACTGGGGTCAACGGGGTGG